CAGAAGTGTGAGACGGTCGAGAATTTACACCAGTGTCCTGTTATATTTTAGATAGCAAGGAACAGACGGCTGAGTTTATTAAACTCCACCGAGACAGCGGTGGAGTTTAATAAACTAATCAGAAGGCTAGACCGTCCAATTCCACAACCGTTTATTTCCGGCCTACCCGACCTTCTGAGGACCCGGCCCATGTAGACCGCAAAGGCCGGGTCCTCAGGAGGTTGCAGCCCATGAATTTGAACACGACTAACACTCGTGGACTGGGATTGGGGACCCCTGTTATAAACAGTACATTTGCATAATGACTGAAACCAGCTGACTGAATGAACAATGGGCTGTGAGGTCAGTTCCTTGATCACGTAAGGAAAAAAAAAATTTTTGCCTGTTTTTTTTTTTCTACTTTGAAATAACTTGTGACCAGTTGTAATTTTTTTTAAATCTTGTTAGACAATATAAACATATCCACTGTTCACTGTATCAGTCCTGCTGTAGTGGTTGTTTGCTTGCTGATTATTCCTGTTGTATTGAAGTTGAAACAAAAGAAAACTCTTTTATTCTTAATCAATTTATCTTGCATCAGAAACATCTATATGTACAGGTGCTGGACATTTGAAAATTTTGTTTTTATGTAAGATTAGATTTCCCTTTTACTCACTTTGTCAAACTTTATATGAGAACATCAAATTCCTGTGACACTGTTTAATGCAGCGTCCTCATTAGCACATATTTAAAAACCTTAACATTTCATGGGGATTTCTTCTGTACTGAAAAATGCTGGAAAATCCTTTCAACCCCTTAAACTTTGATGGTAAAATTGAAGTGTCGATGATTCATTTTCTGATTTACACTAATATTACTCTGTGTTTTCAAATTTAAAATGATCTAGTCAACGTATTTTATGATATACTGAATAGGTGTACATCTTTATTGCTGCAGTTAAACCAGGCTCTGATTAAAGCCTAATGCATTTCTATTCCTGTGAAATGACCTTTTTTTAAACACAGTTATTTAAATCACTGTTTGCATCACAAGTTATTTGCTGTGGGGAAAAAAAACATGATTTCAGCAAATGTACAAGAGTAATGGAGGAAGGTGTTATACTAGGAAATCTATTGTAAGGAATCAAAAACAAAAGGAAAAATGACTGAAGAGGAGCCCCTGGTGGACCCATCGAGGACTATATTTAAAACTGACTCAAAACCTCATTATAATTTTACACACATGTGTTTGTTATTTAAGTGAAAAAGAAAATGAAATAATACTGTTTTCATGTTATTCTATTCATATTTCTGATCATCTTTCTTAATTCCAAGATTACATAAATAGTTATGTGAATGGTAACTGTCATTTATTTGTATTTGTAGACCACATGAACGATGGAAGTGAACAGACAGAAGAAGAAAATAAGGACGTAACTCTCTTTAATGACAACCAGACAGTAACATCAACACAGGGACTGCTGGAAAGTGAAAAAAGGTGGCACGAGTCGTTTCAAAGATTCGACTGAATGACCAAAATGACTTTTTCAGTTATGACCGCTCACTGCCTGTTTTTTAAATTTGTAAAAATAAAAAAAAAAAATCATTTTTATTCTTCTGCTTTTAAGTTTGACTGAGTGATGTCTTCTCACCTTGTATTTATTGTTGTTTTTATTTGTTGATCTCTTTTTTGATATCTGTTGTTTTAAAATTAGTGCTCTATAAATCAAACTGAATTTGACTGAATTTATTTTCTTAGTGTTTATATAATCGTACCACTTCTCCCTGTGTGATATGCTGGTCATTTTGTTTGCACATCAAAACAAGTTGCTTTTTGCACTTGAAACTTATTTTTCTACAACCAGTTGTGATTGTTGCTGCTTGTAGATCTGTCCAAGAATCAGGTGTAATTCATTCATAAATAATTTACAAGTAGAAATACCAGCAGAGAATCAAATATAATTTAGGATCTTAAACAGTCGGTGAAACTGAAGGAGAGAGGAGCGAGCAGCAGCAGGACATAACTGTTAACAAACATAACTCACGTGAACCTGCAGGGAACAATACTGCAGTAACACAGTAACACGTATTTAAGTAGAGGAAGCCTCAATGTAAACTATCAATCAGGAGTCACAAGTTGATCTTCAGCTTTGGAAACTTTTTTTTTTAACTTCTGAACTTAAAACTTATCATGTTTTCATTTTTGATGATTTTGCACACAGAAAACAAAAAACAAAAGTACAACAAATTTATCACGTGGAACTTCAAGTACTGAGTTGTGTTAAACAGAATTCAGTATTTACTGTTAAACTACTGTAACCTTATTGATTTTTAACCCAGAATAGTCGTTATATCCACTTGCAGACTGATGAAAGGAGTGAAATGTGTTTAAAAATTGTTAAATAGCTGTAAATATCATAATCTTATCTGATGTTAAATGACATGTTGTTCCTTTTTATTCACCCTGAAGATTCAGTAAGCTTCTTTGTGTAATTCATATTTTGTTTTTGCTTTCATCACCTCCAGATGACCATGAGATTTAAAAAGGTGCTCACTGTACGCAGGGTTTTTACCCACTTAGAGTCACTCAAAGTCTTTACTGCAGGGGTTTATTCATCCTGACAAACTAGAGCTTACCACTAGAGGGAGCTACATATCAATCTTTTCTGCTGCCTGCTGCTCATCATAAAGGAAACACAATCTAAAGATGATGTGACTGCTGTCAGTAGATATGCTCGTGTTTGTGATTGGTCAGATGCTGCCAGCTCCATTGCTTCACATGAATATGCTACTAGCTGGTTGGGAAACCCTCGGTCGACTTATTGAGTCCTCGTGTCCTGATCAATTAACACAAATATATACACAACTTAATCAAAAATAAACACATTTGCAGCTTTAATTTGAATAATAATAGTTGTCTTTCAATTTTTATATGTAGCTTTTAAAACTAAACCCAAGTTTTGTCATTTTAAAAAAGGAAATTGATCTGTCACATTTACATTTTATGGAAGAAAGTGTTAAATATTTTGGAATTCTGTTCATATGTCAATAAATTTATTTAAAAAA